TTTAAATACATTTCAAACAAGTTTCAATTTTTTAAAAAAGTATATTAAAAGTATATTTTACTTTACCCTAAATGCTTGTCAGTACATGGCACTTTAAACTTTAACCATATTTCAAAGACCATAAAAGCAATTAGGAAATAATAAAATTGTACTACTAAAAGCAGTTCAGCTAATTGCTTTTAATTTAATCTATGATGTCTTTTAGGCCCTGTTTACACGAGAACGCTCGCGAGTGAAAACGTAAAAATATTTTATCGGATGTGCCTTTCGTTTACACGGCGACGGCGTTTTTGAGGCTTAAAAACGCAAAAAAGTGAAACCACCCTCCAGAGTTGAAATCTTAAAAACGCTCCTCCGTCGCGTTCCCGTGTAAAGGGTAAAAACGCAAAAGTCTGCTTGACAGTGAAGGTTGTACGCAGGCGCGTGGACTTGGTGTTGTTGTAGTATGCACTCCTAGCCACCTGGAGTGCATACTACATTGAATTTCACACACTTTTGCGTCACCATTTGCACACGAATTTCCCACACAAAACGATCGTCTAAACGCAGAATAAAAAGTGATGACGCAACGCCACTTTTGCGTTTTCTATTCAGAATCGTTTCCGTGTAAACATAGCCTTAATTTACATGCAATTACCATGCAATTAACTGAATGTAGACATTGCATTCAGTTCATGTTTTTCTTTCAAATGGTATCTTCATAATAAGTACTCTTTTTAAAAGCATGTGAAATTAAACTTTTCTCCTAACTTAAAAAATAAAACAGCCTTGTCACAGTAAACAAAGTGATCAGCAATTCTGAACTCTTGTATGATGTGTTCAGCAGACCAACACGGTGAAGCCCATGTCCCACATCCTGCCTGTGAGACAGCTAATTAGAGTCGAGGGTCTTTGTTGCGGGAGTTAATCGGCAGCACACTGTTTTATCAGCTGTCTATAATTGGGATATGATCATGTGGTGGGTTTATTTAGTTGTAATGAGGCGGAAAGGTGAGCACCATATTTACCCAGAATCAGACCATAGCTAGCATGATCCCTAGAGGGACAAGCTCTGTTGGGAAAGTCATTCGCACGGCAGTTGAGAGTGGCTTAGGGAGGCCACGGAAGTCATTTGTAGTAAGATTGAGATTGAGCCTGTTTGGTCTTGTCTGGCGCTTGCTTCCCTCTCACTCCCAACTCAACCCCAACCCCAACCCCCCTTCTTCCCTTCCTGCATCCCAACGTCATGCCGCACTTGCTGGATGTGACTGATTGATTTCATTTCAGTCTCTTGGCACAGGAGAGCCGTGTTAAGGAAGTGTCTGTTTCTCACTGTTAGCTGAATGACCGGGACAAACAAGCAAAACAGGCTTTCAGAATGAGTGCAGCTCCATCGTCGTATACTGACCAGCATACAAATTTTCACAAATGGTACAAAATACCATACCGTGAAGATAACAGGTCGCCACGGAGCCTAGCAGAGTAGATACAGCTGACCGCTCCCTCCAGCCCCTGAACTGTTTTTTCACTCAATCCCCATATGGTGGGTGGCAAATGTGCTGTATATACACCATGTTCAGAGCAGATGTGTGTGGCCGCCCCCTTCCCACAAAACTGGCCGCCGTGTCACGAGAAATGTTGTTGCTTTTCTGTTCATCCACAGTAGTGTCTGTTTTTCTTGCACTGTGTGGGGTTGGACCATTCTCAGGTCTTCAGCCCCAATAAAGTAGGTTTAAAATGCTGACCCCTAACAGTCATGTGTTTTCAAGAGAGTTAGGTGGATGTTGTCTTTAAACAAACAGGCCAGGCTATGTGAATGCATCCCTCTGAAGGAACTAGGCAATTATACGGATCGTATTGCCCCGGGATGTTTTGAAAATGTGACTTTGAAAAGGAGGCTTTGTGGACGGCAGTTTGACCTCTGACCTCACCGAGGGATCTCATTTCAAAGTCCGATGCTTATTTTTAGGTTCCACTAGAGTGAGCTTTAACATCAGTGACCTTTGACCCCTGTGTGAACTTGACAACACTGCTTATTAGTGTTGTTCGAAATTCAGAATCTAAAGGGAACCTGTTATGCTTTTTTTTATTTCACCTTTCCATTAGTGTTTAATATCGATGTTTGTGCATGTAAATGATCTGCAGATTTGCAAAGCACAAGGTCCACACCAAAGGAAGTACATTTTTCCATCAGGAAACACTTGCCTGAAACGTGTAGTCCTGCCATTATTAGCTTAGCTACGTTGCCATTTTACATATTTGCACAATCATTACGCAATGACTTCTTGTCATTAAACAATCATTTCTTACACAATCAATTCAACTATAATTCTTGTTCATTGGTTCAATACGCTGAACAGCCAATCAGAGTGATCTCTCTCAAAGACTGGCCAACACTGGTTCAACATGGTCAATCAGTCAAAAAGCCACCAACAGGGTCTAGTGACTTTTTAACTTTTTTTAATACAAACTAATACAAACAAAAAAAAGACTGAAGGCAACATTCTGAGTCTATCTTGACAGTCTTTCTGTGTTAAATTGATTTTGACTTTATTTTCATGGTCCCTTTAACACATTCTGTTGACTAGAAGTAGCTTTGCACCTATACGTCTACTAACTCTCATTAGAGTGTTAGTATTAGTAGACTGGTAGGGTTAGGGTTCAAATAAGTTGACGTGTAGTTGCAAAGTTACTTCTACTCAGAAGAATGTCTGTTGGAGGACCGCACACAGTAAAGAGTCAGAAGATATTTAAGCAGACAGTCTTAACACTCAAATGAGAGTTATTTGACATGTAGTTGCAAAGTTACTTATAGTCAACAGAATATTCAAAAGGAACCATCAAAATAAAGTGTTACCCAATTTAGTTTTAATTTTACTTGTGCTTCATTCAAGCTGCAGTACAGAATTTTGGCCTCTCTATCGTCATTCTGTGGTAAAATTGCATGACTACAAAGCAGTCATATGTTCTTCGATACTGCTTTTTGTTTGAGGAAGTGCAACCAGTGATCATATCAGAGCTGGTCTGTATATAGAAGCTATCTGTGTTTACAGACACAACCTAAACTGGTAACACTTCATAATAACTACACGCTAATAATCATTAGTTAAGCATGAGTAAACCATTAATTCATCATTCATAAAGCATTAATAGACATTAATAAGCAGTTCATAAATACAGCTATAAATGCTTTCTTCTTGATTTAAAAGCATATCTATAATTTGTTTAATAATTGTATTTTCATCCTTTATTAATGATCAATTTATCATTTCTAAATGAAGAATTGCATTTTTTATGAGCCAGTTATTTAAGAGTTTTCAGTGGTTCATACGATTACTTAGAGGGAGTGAGTAAATGATTAATAAACTATTTAAATGTACATTCATACATCTTATTATTCAGACATATAGTGATGGTAACTTAATGTGTTAATAAATGCTTTATTAACATGTATTAATGCTGTAATTAAGGGTTAATTTGGGTAGTTATAAAGCATTTAGTAGTGGTCAGTTAACTATGTTCGTGAGCTCATCTAAAGTGAGGACTAGTCATGCCTTGTAAAGCATTTTTAAAGGCTGTTAAATATTTCTATGTTCTGTATCACTGCGTTGTGTTTGTTACATTTTACTGTTTAGAAGATTGACAAGGCTTTAAATCACCTTTATAAATGCTTTACAAAGCATGAATAGTCCTCACTTTAGATTAGCTCACAAAAATAGTTAACTGACCACTACTAAATGCTTTATAACTATGTATTTACTACATTTACTTACACTTTCTAAGTGATCTTATGAATGACTGACAACTCTTAAACAACTGGTTTGTAAATAATGCAATTCTTCATTTAGAAATTATTAATTGATCATTAACAAAGTATGAAAATACAATCATTAAACACATTATAGATATGCTTATAAATCAAGAAAAAAGCATGTATAGCTATATTTATAAACTGCATATTAATGTCTATTAATGTTTTATAAATGATGAATTAACTGTTTACTCATGCTTAACTAATGATTGATAGTGTGCAGTTATTATAAAGTGTTACCCATAAACTTGCAAGAACAAATGACGCATAAACCTGGAATTTGCCACCAAATCAGTCCCAATTGCTCCAAATTTACATCATTATTATATACATATAGGCCGAGATTTAGTAACATCTCGCACCAGTGCAAACCCTCTTTTTTTTGTGTTAAAAAAACTACTGTCAGGATTTACTGAAGACACACAGTGAAAAATTACCACTGATATGGCGTGGACAGGGTTTTTTTTTGCGGCTGACCTTATTGCATGTGCATTTGTAGGAGTTTCCCGTTCAGATGCAAAATTTATCGGAGTAGAGTATTTTAAATGAATCCTTCAAGGTGATTTACAAAGGTTTGGGGTAGTCAATTTATTGGTATTTGCGCCATTATTTATTTACCGCCCAAAAAAGGATGATTTAAACCAGATGTTAATTTGCATAACTTTCCACTCCCATCAATGCTTTTTTGGAATTGCGCTCTCACTCAAATTTTTTATGTACTCGATCAACTAGGGTCTAGTTCCTATTTGGTGCCTCAATTGAAATTTAAAAAACTGAAATTTGACTGACACCTGAAAAACTGAAACTGGAATATGAATTTAAAAAATGAATTCAAATGGATTGAATTTTAAAAGGTGCACAACCCTGCTGTTTATGTAGCGCAAGCACCAATGTCATGGATTTGATTCTCAGGCAAATACATGAACTGATAAAAAATATAAACCAACCTTGAATTTACTGCTAGTTGCTTTGAGTAAAATCATCTGCCAAATGCAATATCTAACATTCACAAATGTTTGTCCTGGCCAGTTTAGATTAAGTTTGCTGTTTTTGTCTCTATGATATGCAAATGAACAAAACAGGGAAAAACAACTTAAGACTCATTGTGTGGTCAGACCCTGCCATTCAGTCCTCTTCCAGTTTCCAAATCAACCTGGCGTACTGCCTTTAGCCAGGACAGGAATTGGGTGGAAATGGACTTCCTGTCAGGATGTGGCGCGTGAGAGCGCAGCACGGAGTACAATCAGACGCTGCGTTCTCACCCAGACTACAGCACCTGTGCTTCCGCTACGCTTCACACGCAGGAGGTCTGACCGAGGCCCTCCAGACCCCTCTCAGAATTGTTTCCTTTTTTTACACACAGTGCTGACTGATGTTCTCCTGACTATTCTTTGATGCTTTGTGTCCAACTCAAGTTTGTTTTCACATGTCAGATAATGTCTGTATGCTTCGTCATTTTAGATGTGTCAATAACTATGGCGTTTTCCCTGTGGAATGATCATATTATCACTGTTGTTGAAATTTAGTTTTACATAAACCAACATCCTCTGTGGATTTGTTGTGCGTTGCAGACGTTTGGCATTGCCGAGATGAAAAACAGAACTTCATTCAAAGTTTCGATGCTCAGTTGGTGCGAGAGGAGAAGAGATTGGAAGTTGAAGAGGAGCTCAGAGTTCAGGTGGGAGCAGAGCTGTCATCAGGGGGGGAATCAGGGTCATGTGATGAAGGGGTCCCGTAAACACATCTTTAACCTGCCAATAATATGCGAAGTGGGGCCCTAGGCTTCATAATTTTGTCTCGGACCCTCGTGAATTCAAATCCTGGTTGGGAGTAAAGAAATCATCACTCTTTCTGCAGTGCACTACATTTTCTTAAAGTCATAACACTCTATGAAAACAAAACACTTAAGCTCTTTCGCTTTCCTTGTGGCTCAATTCATTCCATCACATGTTTTTCTTCTTTCTCCATCTATGTTTTTATATTTGTCTCAGGTGGACGAGCTGATGAGGCAGGAACTGAAGAACCTTAAACTGGTGGTGGACAGAGACAAGGGAAAGAAAAAGAAAAAAGTCAAGAAAAGTAGTAAAAAGGTGAATGGCAGACGTGCATACTTCTTCCTTTGAGATAAGACTTTAAGCGCATTTGAAATTCTCTGCATAAGTGACAGTGTACAGATGCTCAGTGCTCCCTGATGTTCCTCAGATTATAGATGGTGACTGGTCTGTAAACCCCTGTAATGTGTCTTTTAGCCTGGATGAATCCAGATCTTGAGATTTACTCTCCGCCCTCTGTTTATGCACCTTGTGTGAGAGGCCCTGGGGTCATACAGTGATCTGCCCTCGCGACCAGGAATGTGGTCTGGACAGAGAATTAGTAAAGGTGTCCTGCCCTCGTCAGCTTGTGTTTTGATAGGGCCCCTGTTCCCCACCTTCTCTACCACACACACACGCACACACACACACACACTGGTTTCCATGTTTTATGGGGATCTACTTAGATGCAATGATTTTTATACTGTACAAACTGTATATTATATCTCTCTACACTAACACCTCAACCTACCCATCACAGAAAACTTTTTTAGATTTTTTTTTTTTAAATAACAGAAAAGCGTTTTTAGATTTTTTTAAAACACTTAATTTAGTATGCTCAAAAAAAAAAAAATCCCCATAAGGTCAAAATTTACCAGTATGATCATCCTTGTGGGATATTTGGTCCGAATAATGTTGGGAATACCAGGTACACACACACACACACATTGAGTTTCCATGTTTTATGGGGACATTCTAGCCTGGGAAAACCAAGACAACTTCTGTCAAATTTAGATTTGCTCTGAAAGTTAGTCTGGCAAAGAGCTCATTCAAGCCCATTTCCAATCCGTCGAAATCGCGGCACCAATCAGAAACGATGGGGCGGGGTTTACACGAGCTTTTGTAGGATGGATGCCGCCATCGAACATCACTCATTCGAATCAGCTATCGTGTCTGTTTTAAGCGTTTTGAACCGAGCAAAGAACAACACTTGGAGATGTTTCTCCGCCGGCCGCTGCTCTGCATACGTCATCTCCTTCATTGCTCTGATTGGTTTTAGGTCTACCCGCGACGTCCGTTGGTGACGCCCCTCTCGAAATGATTTGTCTATGACGCTTTGCCAGACCATAACTCAGTTGCAACTGAGAATGGTATGGTTTTAACCAGGCTAGGGACATTCTATAGGCATAATGAATTTTATACTGTACAAAGTGTAAATTCTATTCCTGAACCCTTAAAGGGTTAGTTCACCCAAAAATGAAAATTCTGAAAATTCAGTATTTACTTACCCTCATGTTGTTCCAACCCCGTAAGACCTTCGTTCATCTTCGGAACACAAATTAAGATATTTAAGATATTAAGATCGCTCCTGCATACAGTCCATAGGCTTCTTGAGGGACTGGCTCTTGCTGTCCCCAAAAAGTCATTAAAGACATCGTTAAAATAGTCCAAGTGACTACAGGGGCTCAATCTTAAGTTTATCAAACGACGAGAACACTTTTGTGCGCAAAAAAACAACAAAAATAACGACTTTATTTCAACTATTCTCTTCCTTCTCCATGAGCCTGTAAGTCAGTTAACGTAGTGTGATTGCGTAGAGCTACGTCACACGTAGGCTCACTATTGGCCGACGCTGTTCATGTGTGTGTGATGCGTGTGACGTACAATAACAGAAGCTTACGCTATTAAACTAGTAACCTGACTCGCGCAGAGGGAGAAATAAACGAATAGTTGAAATAAAGTCGTTATTTTTGTTGTTTTTTTGCGCACAAAAGTGTTCTCGTCGTTTGATAAACTTAAGATTGAGCCCCTGTAGTCACTTGGACTATTTTAACGATGTCTTTAATGACTTTTTGGGGACAGCAAGAGCCAGTCCCTCAAGAAGCCTATGGACTGTATGCAGGAGCGATCTTAATATCTTAAATATCTTAATTTGTGTTCCGAAGATGAACGATAAGGTCTTACGGGGTTGGAACAACATGAGGGTGAGTAAATACTGACAGAATTTTCATTTTTGGGTGAACTAACCCTTTAACCTATAGAGTAAAAAACAATGGGACTATTTTTTTTTTTGCAATTGCTGCTATCCTTTTCATAATTGAACTTTTATAACTCACAATGTGACTTTATTACAACTCATAATGTGTCATGATTTTATTATTTCAAACTTTATATATATATATTTTTTTTTTATTTTTTTTTACCCTGAAACAAAACAAAAGCTGACCTGGAAGCAGTATTATCGAAGTGTGTTTACATCTTGAAGGCAGATTCTAGACATTTATATTTGCAAAGTAAAGACATCAATTACTACGCCGGCAATATTTAGACAGAATAATATACATACTGTATAAAAAGATTGATTTTTTTGTTTGTGTATGTATGTGAATATGTGTGTGGCTCTGTTTAACTGTGACCTATAAATATATGGGAATATATAGGAGACCAATCCATCTCCATATTTCCTGCAATCAGTCTCTATTGTGTCTTCTCCAAAACAAGAAGCATAGAAAAAGGCCTCATTGCATGCCTGCACAAGAGCTAGAATTCCTCAACAACATATTTGGCACCCTGCTTGAGTTGTTTTACGCTGAGAGGTTTTGACAGCTAAATCGGTCACAGACGCTGTCTGTCCGATGTGTGTAATTTATACACAAAGATGTTTTTTATCATTAATCACTCAGCAAATGCAGGCACACGGATACCCTATTCAAATCTGCTGGCGTAAAACTGAATTCCAGCTGTTAATTCATCGAAGTAGGTTTGCACATTGAACTTTGTTGGAATTTTAAAAAACGTTCAGTGAATTTAGGAACCCATGCAATTTGGGAACATCAAATTGAACATTATGCAACAGGGAGGGTTTGTTTGTTAAATGAACATGCAACGCCCAAGCTGAGCTAATGCTAGCAGAAGTTCATCCTGTCTGTTATATAAATGCAGGAGAAAAGTTTCCTATCATAATTTCTTAAACTAACATACTCAGAAATGCCAAAAAAATTATCCAAGATTCTCCATAAAAATATTTGGGGGAATCACAGTATGTTCAGTCCCAGTTTCTGAGAAAATGAAGAGGGTTTCTACAAAGTATTACTCGCCGAACAAATATTTAAAACGATTGGTTACATATCATTCGTGGAAATTCCTGGTTGCTAATCCTGCTAGTCTGGTTCATTTGTGGATTGAAAAGCCCTGAATTACAGCAAGTTCCAAGGTGTCTCCTCAAGTAGGCAGCATAAAAACGACTGTGCTGGGTGTACATGTACAGACCATCACTTGATCCCACACAGTGATTGTTTATGTTAAGTCACCAGAGGTTTTTCCGAATTTCTACATTTTGGATACAATCGCATATGCCACACACTTGTTATTTACATGTTACATTGTAGGATTGGAAGATTTAATACACTGAAACAGACATGTAGATATGCCTTGTTGTTAAAAGGAAAATAAACTTCCTTTACAAACTGACACTAATCTAATCACGCACTTTAACTAATGTTAAGACTTATTTCAATCTAAAAACCAGGAAAAATGTTTTTTGGACAAATGGTTTAAAGGAAAAATATAATATCTACCACACATATTTTCCTTCCCCTGTCATTCTTGATTCCAAATTATTTTTTTATATTGTTGTCCATAACTAAAAACACATTTTCTTTGCTTTAGAAAAAAAAGAAAGGGCGGAAGACTGGAAAGAAGAAGAAGAAAGAGAAGGACCTCACAGCTGACAGGTTTGAATAAATAAACTGGTTTAAAATGCAAAGTCTATTTTTCAAGAATATTAAAATGTAGTTTAATCATTGCTAAAAGAGCATATTTGGGAGATGTAGGTCATATGTTAAACACCAGTGCACTGTGAGAGTTCAGGAAAGTGCTCAAGTGAGTGTCAGGGTTTGGAGCTCAGGGGGTGCCTGGCAAACGTCCACGTGGAGCACAAGAATTCACGGCTGGCTCCGAACGCTGTGATGTAATAGAAATTTGCGTCAGATACACAGCATGACTGATCAGTTTGCTCTCTTGTTTGCAATGCTTTTTCTGTTTTTCTCTCTTCCAAACTTTCTTTTTACCTCTCTTTTTGTCTTCTCTCTAGGACCATAGAATCTCTATATGAGGAACTTGTTCGGGAAGGCTTCATAATCAGGCCAATGAATGTCAAGTTATCAGATTACATAGGTAGAAACTATACACCACTGAGATAAATGTCATGTCTTTTTAGTTTTTAACATTCTGTAATGTCTTCTTAAGCCTATAATTTGTTTCACTTGCTTAATTCTGCATTAATGCTTAAACATTACACTCAAAAAATGTATTTAATTATTTTTTTAAGGTGTAAACATTTTGAATTGAATTATCTTTAATGTTGAAAATATTTTAGGTAACACTTTAAATAAATTAAACCTTTCTACTAAGTAACATTGCAACTACACGTCAACTCCCAGTCGTTAGATTATTAGTAGACTGTCGGCTTAATATCTGCTAACACTTTATTCACCATAATCTAATAGTCTACTAATACTCTGAGAGGTAGTTGACAAATAGTTGCTTATATTTAGTAAAATGTCTAAAGTGGACTATCAAAATAAAGCATAATTTTAATTAAATTTATTTAAATTATTTTTAAATAATTAAAATAAATTTAATTAAAAATAAAATCTTATTTAATAAAATTAAAGATTATCACACTTTAAAAAAAGAACTATATTTATATTTTAAAAAGTTAAGCATATTTTACATTTTTTTTTAAATTTGGGGGGAAATTTTATGATTTATTTAAATGTATGAATTTATTTTGTTTATTATTATTATTATATTTTATTTATTATTCTTATTATAATTATTGGTCAGATCTTATAGTTAATTAGATCTTAGTTTGGCACAAGAAGTTCAGTATATCCTGATTTTGCGAGTTAAAGGCGTTCTTGGGTCAACATAACATAACATTCCTGTCCAAAAATGTAATCCAATCATATCTCTACCCCTAAACCTAACCCTACCCCTAAGTTATCCCCAAAATCAGGGGGAAATGATAGGTGAACAACATAGAGGCACCTAACACTGGCTGTAAGCCTGAACTTGACATAAACTGTAAACTTGTCCCTCAAATCTGATTGGTTGATTGGAATGTTGATCCAGGAACATGTTGCACTTGCTGAAATCAGTCTCCTTTCTCTTGGCACAGTGTAATGCCACATGAAAACAGAGACTCTTGTCCAGTTTAGTGGCTGCGGTCACACTAATGGGGGCTCCAAGCTGCCTCTGAAGTAAATTGTTTGCTAAACATTTCAGTATTTATGTTGATATTTTTTGGACTTAGTTCAGCTTAATCACATCAAGTACACAAAGTCCAGTGTCAGAGCTAAATCTTTGATGTGAACATTTAGTGTACATTGATTTTTCCTAGAACACTGTTTTCAGTGGTTTTCATGTATTGCTATTTGTTACATCTCACAAGCACATTGAAATCAGACGGTTACATCAGTGAATCAAGTGAATCAGTTTTATGATAAATGCATTGCCCAGGGTTTCAGACTGGGCTTTACTGCTAAAGCGACTTGCATGTGTACCACAGACACATGCACAGTGCTTAATCACACCCCTGTAAACGTGTGTGTGCGCACCACAGTGGATTTTATGACTCATCAATGGTTCAACTGCACAGCATAGCAACCTAATGTTGCTCTAAAATGACACGAAATGTGAAGCCTTAAAATTTCAGTTTCTGTTTAGTTTGTTTTTCGGGAATAGGGTGTGGTATTTAAAGTATAGCAAACCACATTGACTGCAATGTGTCGGAACAACTTTGTTACTCTAACATTGTTTTTTGTGTTCCATGGAAACCTGTAACGGTGACATGATGCGGTGCTGGCAAGCAGCCATTGATGTCTGATGTTTGTTAGCATATTTAAAGCAGTATGGCATATATTTTTCCTTGTCTCTCTAGGTGAATACAGTTACTTGGGCACAACACTGCGGCAAGCAGATATTGAGCCCATGCCATCTCTCTCTGACGTAAGACAGCTCATCGCACTGTATGGCATTCTCCCTTTGGGTGAGTGTAACCAGCTCTGACTAGTCAGACCTAGCCAATGTGCTTCTCTTTGCTTTAGTCATCATACATCATTCAAAAACACCTGCAAATGTCTGGCATTACTCTGATGATGTCTCTATAATGAAGTGTGTTCTGCTGAACTGCTGAATTTCAAATTTACATGACCTACAGAAATAATCAAAATAATAAATCATTTTACTTCATTATGTGAAATTTATAAGAACATGTAACCTGAGAATTACCAGTTTTAACAAAAAATGTCTAAATCTATGAATCCTGAAACAAAACATCAATATATACATTAACAAAAAAAAATAAAAAATCACACTTTTACTTTCCAATGAAAAAGATACTGCACTGGTTCATCAATAGGTACATTCACGTTTATCAACAAACTTTTTGTCCCAATACTGTGTTTGAGATATATGAAATAGGATAAATATATTTTACAAAATAATTTTGAGACTCATAATGTTAAAAAAAAAAAAATAATAGTCTCTATAACAGCATAAAGCCTTAGTTAATACCCAGGTCAAAAAGTGTTTATATCTCACGTAAATTAATTTTAAAAAAGTACAAAAAATAAAATAAAACTATTGATACATTTATTTTGATAGTCTTGGATCATCTGCAAAGTTTGGTTCCTGCACTAAAAACGATGTATCTCTTCTGGTTTAAAACAGACCTAAATGCATTATGAAGTTCCAAACAACTTGAAGCTACTAACAAGTTTTTATGGATAAAAACACCACCATTGCGCTCGAGCCTCTAGGGAATTGTATAGTTGCTCACATCAATTTTTCAGGAGTAGCACTATTAGATCCATGCGCACATGTTTGTTTGTAGGTAATAAAATGCACCCTGTCTGCCCTTCTGAACTGTACTTGACCCTACTAAGCAGCTCATGGTCTTTTGTAACTTTCTCTGGAGTGAATGCTTCATTGCCTAGCAAGGCCCGGTGTCCCATATCATACTATCAACACCAACATTCACTCTATGCACTCACTTCTCATTTAATAACCCAGCAATGGGATCAGCCCAGGGATCAGGACTGATCATACACACGCTGCCCTGGTGGGCTGTAACCTTAACAACTCTTTGCAGGGAACGTTAGATTGTCCCTCAGTGATTCGTGGCCCTAGGCAGAAAAGGGTTACCACATAAACAGAGCTCAGTGCTAAAACAAAGACACCTCAGTCAGCAGCAGCAAAACAATCACACAAAGGAGTCAGGACGTCTATATCCCTAAAGATCTCGTGGTATGAGAGTGTGTGATGTCTCTCCAGAGGTCTGTCATCACAGCATTCCCAGAGGAGAGTAACACTGCAAGGGCAAATCAAAACTAGATTGCTTCCAATACAGCAAACGCAGAGCAAAATAAATCTTTCAAAGTCAAAGACCGTGCCTCATCAAACTTTGCAGTATTTTGACACAAATTCACCTGCTACTCTGCAATATGACTAAAACTAATTCAGTTTCATTTCATTTACAAGATTGTTTCCTCACACAGCCTGTCTCATACTGATCACTCTGCATATTTTTTTGCATGGTTCATTCTGAATCAATTTTGGTAAACTTTCAGTATTTGATTGTAAGGTGTTCAAAACAAGTTGAGAACTACTATCAAATGGACACAAACCAACATAAAATTTTATTTTGGTCTAAACTGGTCTTTTCAACACAAAAGGGGGTTAAAAAGGGGATACTCATAATTCCACAATTCCTGCCCGGGATGCCATGACATAAATCCTAGTTTTAAGTGTGTTTTTGATGATTGCCCCTCTTTAAAAATGACTAATGCTGCCCTGGCCTGAGGTATGTTTCTCTCAGTTCTCACTTTTGTTAGATCTACCTCACTAGATTAGATTTTATTGCATTTCTGTTATTTTCATCCCTAGAAATATAATCGCTCCCACCGTTTTTAAGGGCGGACTAGTGTAAATCTGATTTGAACTTCAAAGCCAGCGGCTGTTAACTGGGACAGGGTGAGATTCATGAACTATGAACCATGGTTAGTATAGGCTAACTACCTTGTGAATGCAGAAAAGCACAAGTTTCTCACAGTGTTCCTCATTGTGCTTTTCTGTAAACCATTTTAAACTTGATAAACATTGCAGATATTCTGAGGTCAAGTGAACTTCCTCCATATCACAATGGCCCTTTTAACAGAGCTGTTGGGAGAGATTAGGAAGTTAATTCAATTTTGGATAATCAGGTTTAAACCATGGTGCTAGTGGAGTGTACACGCAGATACACATTAATTCATGTATAAACTTACACAGGTTGTGCTCCAATCTGCTTGCTTACAGTGTGCAATAAAAGTATGCACTTCGCTGGTGATGATAAAGTACATACTTTTAATTGTGTAGCACTGGGTGGGAAATTTTGTCGGCTAATAAACTATGGAACCTTTTCTATGTGTCAGCAAGTGGGCTTCCTCAAGTGCTTACAGTGCTTAAAAAGCTTAACTCTCCATTTAACCACATGCTACTTTTTTTACTGGAACCATTTGTACTGTAATTTAGTTCAAATGATTAAACGATGATTCATACCCGAGATACATTTAGAACTCACAAACTATGATCCAACCTTGCTATCCAGTTGAGGCCTGTTAGTGCTAATCTGGTGCGTATGGTGTGTTTACCTTGGAAGTCAGATTTTGGAGCTTTGAATGAAATCACACCTGAATCAGTCCCTCCAGGATTTCACGATTTTTTTTTTTTTTTTATTTTTGCGATCAAAATGACTGATTTTGTGGTGGTAATTTCCAAAAATTTGTGAATTATATATAACATTTACCATTATAGTATGTACACAACTCGGAAAACCAAGATGGATGCGTCCAGCAAACCTTTGTTGTTTATTAAAAAGAAGCATTTTGCACAAATAATGTCCCCAGATAGAGTTTAGCAAGTAATGTTTGTATTGAGACAAAGACAAACAATAGTGCTAATAAACAGTTCTGTTTCACTTACTGTTGAGGTGCTGAGAAGCCATTTTGGACACACAAGTCAGGGTGTGAGCGTTCCTCCGAGTTTCCAAGTTGGAACTCTGACTTGAGGGGGCATTCCAGTTATCATTTCTTAAGTTTTAGGTTTAATACAAAATGCAGCAGCAGCTTTGGCTTTGCACCCTTGACACATCACAAACTCATCCTTTTCCATTGTGCAAGGGATTGTGGGTAATAGCACAAAAAGCATGCACACTCTGAAAAATAAAAAACAAATCACACAAGATAAAAATATCAGCCTACTGTGATTTCAGACAATTTAATTCTTGTATATTATTTAGGATAATATTTGAATGTAGCCTCTGCCCTATACAAACACAGCTAGCACAATGTGATTTTTCTATTTATATCGCCCCCTGCTGCTTATAGTCCTTAAAGTGTAAAAGTTGGTTTATACTTGTGAAGTTATCACTGAGATGACAGAGAGAGCTGCTCTATGCTCTCAATGTCTGCCTTTTTTTCTCTAAAACTGGGTTACACATACTTCTCACTTCAAGGAACCCTTTCAACGAGAATTCTGACATAATTTACGCACCATCGTGCCATTTCATTCAAACCCATAGGAATTTCTTTCATCCGTAGAACACAAGAGAATTTATAGATATATATGAGATATATACATCATCTGAAAGCTTATTAAATATTGATGTATGATTGGATAGGACAATATTTGGCCGAGATACAACTATTTGAAAATCTGGAATCTGAGGGTGCAAAAAAAATGAAACATTGAGCAAATTGTTTTTAAAGTTGTCCATTTATATTTGCGATTGTGCTGCATTCACTCACAAAAATAAATGTTTTATATATTTACAGTAGGAAATTTACTAAATATCTTCATGGAACATGATCTTTACTTAATATAATATCCTAATGATTTTTGGCATTAAAAAAACGGTAATTTTGACCCATACAATGTATTGTTATATACCCATGTTACTTGTGACTGGTTTTGTGATCCAGGATCACAACTGTCCTGCTCTATGTTATTACAATAATAGGGACCAACGGTGCGTTCAAAATTACACACTGTCTTTGTAGGTACTGCGTTTGAATGATTTGTGAAGATTAAAGTATGTTCAATGAATATAGTATGAATGAAGTTCAGACGTACTACATCCACTATGTTGTTACCATCACACAACCTACCAGTTACCACTTACATTCACAAATCCTCTCCTGTGGCCTCATGGGATAGTAAATTGTACATCGAATGCGCACCAGAATCTCGGTCGGAAGTAGTAGGACATCCAAGTATTTTTCGCCTACTATTTTTCAAGTAGCTACTACCTGTATGTATTCAGACATACTCTGTTGGCATACTTTTTTCGCATACTATATAGTAGGAAAGTATTTCATTTTAGATGCAGTGTAAGACTTTCAAGCTTTAAAAAGGATACTTAAGCACCATGAAAGTATGTTAATATCCCATACAACTGCGCTGTATTTAAAGCATTTCTAATATATTCATTTTCATATTATTTACTTCAAGATTTTCAATAATGTTTTGTGATGAACAAAGAGAAATTTAAGTTATTTATTTCCCCTCCAATCAGCATTTTTTTTTAGTCAGTGATTAAAAAAAATAACTTTCTGATTTGTGAATGAATCATTTAGAGCAGTTTTGTGAACTGAATCAACTTATTCACTGAAAATAGCCAACTCAAAAGAATGAATCAGAGATTGCTACTTTCATGAATTCTCATGGATGCAGCGAGGAGAGATGGATGGATGCCAAGATTTTTAGTGAATAATGACTTAGATATAAAGATATCGAATAAGAACCACAAGTATACTTTTACAGCACTTTTGGGACTCATTGAGAACAGAGACGTGATAATGTGCAGCACCTGTTATGTGTAAGCCTCCCTTCTGGGCAGACATGTTTGTTTGTCTGAATGTGTGTGTGGCCGGACGTTTGTGTGAGCACTGGTAGACGTATATTTGTGTATGCTTCTGTTTGTGTGTCTGTGTCTCACATTCATGCCAGCTCACTCCATCCTGAGCTCTGTCCAGTTAGATCCCTTACAGCATCCATGAGAGGAATCTCACACCACCTGTGATTTAGCCCCAGAGAGCCATTCGACTATTGTTCTTCTATTACCGAGCACCGGCAGCCGGAGAAATCTGACTTCCTAATCAAATGAGTATAGAGTTTGCATGGAGTTCCTCCCTGTCTTTAGATATAGATGAATAGTTGGGTGGGGTGCAATCGAGTTTAAACAGCTGGAGTCAAAGGGGATTTTCCTTCTTTGTTATAGAGCAATGTTATATTATAACAAATTATCTGACAATTATCTTGAGATGACTTTTACTCGTATTCAACCGATGTATACAGATGGTTATCTTATATAATGTAGTATATAGTCAGGAAAATGAATTTATGATAAATGAGGACGACAGAGCCAAGACAAAAGTGTAGGAGATCAAGGTTGATAAGAACAGGGATAGATATTAGGGACCCTATATCATGGCTGCGCAATAAATCAAATTTGTAGTTGTGATTACAATTACGGATGCCACAATTATGTAATCGTTCAAAGGCCAACCGTTCGAAACCGGAATGATTCGCCCATACATGTTCGACCCAGAGTCCGTGTGTTGCACCATTCCCGTCGGATCCAATATAAGGCACAGCACCGTTCTTTACTCTTAATCGGTCTGCAAATCCAGTCTTGTTTACAAAACAATCCTCAGTGAAATGAAGCGAACAGACGGACAATGTTTTACCTCATCAGCTGGAACGTCATTAAAAATAAAGTTTAACCATTCATTCCTATTGGAATCCAGAGGAACCTTATGCAGCGACTGTCTTCTTCCACAACCTGCAGGCACTGCACAATATTTTGTATTGCTTGGTAGCTCGATCCGGTTTGTCATCACAAGGTAGGCTGGCCTATGTTATTTAGCTATGCGTGTAATGAGTCAGTGGGCGGGGCTAATCCGGCCGTGTTGAAGTAGGCGTTGATCTTCTACTGCGGGGGTGGGGTTTTATCCTCTTTGCCGTCATAGTTCCCCACTTTGAAAAACGAGTCATTTGCTGGGGCTGGTGTCAATAAAAGCTTTATTGGACTAACAAGGACGCTTTTCAGTTCTGAAACTTACAGGATATGATGTCAAAGATGTCAAAAGCTCAAGAAAAATTTGATTTCTCAGTTCATCACCCCTTTAAGTTTTTTTTGTGTGTGTGTGTGTGTGATAATCACAATTACTAAGCGCAATTACAATTCAAAGGAATAATCGACAATTAAAATTTTTGTCATAATCGTGCAACCCTACCCTATATACTCTAGTGTGTGGCAAGCTGTTTTTAACTCCCGAATAGGGATGGGACGGTATGAAAATTTCATATCACGATTATAGTGTCCAAAATAATCGTGATTATCAATATTATCACAGTTTTTGTTAAAAATTTATGAAAGTGCTCAAAAAGAACTGATGCTCACACTGAAAACATTTCATTTCATTTTATAATTGAAAATCAACAAATAAAACAAGTCTCTCTATGCAGTTTTTTAAGCAAGATTCTATCCTATGGCATTTGCTTCTTTATAATGCCCGTCGTCAATAGCAACGCATTATTACACAGCGCACATCCACAACGGACGCGCGCTCTTGTTTCATTCAAATACAACTTGCCGTCTTGCGTCTCCGGTTTTTGATTGATTTGCAAAAATGAAATCAGAGTTGATTTATTTTTTACATAGTTTGATAATATTGGTGTGATATATCTTGTCTGGACGATTGTTTTACAAAATGAATTCATAAATAGGTAAGATTTAAAACATTAGCTAATCTCACTATCAATTCAATATGTCCCCGTAATTGTGGTAAAAATAAAATCGGTTTAATACGTGATGTATCTATACTTTACTATCCCTTAAAATATCACTTTTAATAATAGTCTTGTTTGAAGTTGTTCGTTCGTCTTTGGCTCAAAGCCACTTGCTACGAACTTTTTTTTGCGGAAGCTTGACGTCTATTTCAAGTGAGTGACATAAAATGTTTCAACTCAAAACAACATTTCGTGCCCAATTGTTTCCCAGACGTAGTTTTGGTATTGAGGTCAAAGTTAACTTGCCTTGCGTTCGGGTGATGATCACACAAGACGACTCGGCAGATTTGAAGTGTTTCTATTGTAGTGACTTTTTGTTCGGCAGACAAGGTGACCATCCTCGATAAAGTTTCCCTCAGGACTTTTGTAAAACCCAAAATATGACCACACCTCAGATTTATTCCTCTTAAAAGGCTGAAAAACCTCCTGAGCATGGTCACTGCCTTCCGCCATTCCTTTTTGAATAGTAATTTAAAAAAATATTGCGTGCTGCGCGCCTGCGTCAGACTGGCCGACCGGATTCAGTGAGTTATTAAAATCGCGATAATCAAACACGGTTTTAATGATAATTAAATTTTAAACGATAATACTAACCGTCAGTACATTTTATCACGGTTTATAGTGAGTTTATAGTTATTGTCCCATCCCTACTCCCGAAACAACCGTTGAACAAACTTTGTTTTGTCCTGATTTTGTCCGCAATCAAAATCACATCTGTTCTTTCTTTGATTTCGCTTGAAGTATATCGCCTTTAGAAGGAAAATTCACTGCTCCCTCTTCTGGTCTCCATAGGCTCTCAGTGCGTCCATGAGAGAGGGCCCCTGATCCGGGCTGTGCTGCTTACGGGGCCGGCAGGGGTCGGGAAGAAGATGTTGGTCCATGCCCTGTGCAACGAAACTGGAGCGAACTTATTCGACCTCTCCCCTTCAACACTAGCTGGCAAATATCCAGGCAAAAGCGGACTGCAATTCCTCCTGCACATGGTCTTCAAGGTGAGGGAAAACCATCTGAGGCCTCTCTGAAAATCCCTTCTGGGAATATTGAAAGCCAAGATTCTAAGATAGTGAAATGTTGAAATTCTATGAGCTTCTTTTAGCTCCACATATCATAAAAACTGAAAGGATAGACATACCTGATTGATCACTATGCATACTTTAGCTTGCATCAAGACTTATCGTCAGGATCATCAATTCATCTTCTGAAATGGAGTGAAACATGAGGCTTTGCGTGATGGGTTTCTTTCTGTTTATGAGAAATATTCTGGCATGCATGACTTCCAAACATAAACACTAATGCAAATGGAAAAAACGTTCCTCCCTGTCTCAAAGTGGCAACAAAATACTTCTAGAAAGACATTGTTTACTTGCTGTTTAACATTTCAAGAAGTGTTTAGTACGGTACATAAATAAACTCGCGTGTTTAACCTAGAAGGCCAAATTGTATCCCCACCTCTTCCCTTTTTTAATGACGCTTTAGTAATAAATCACAAAGAATGGAAAGGTCAAATCAATAAAAGGCTATGTAATTTGTGCTGTTGCCCACCAGTATAGTTTTTTGTGGCCATATTTGTTTCCTTTAAGAGAGGGGAATACCAGGCTTGGACATTTTACTTGAAGAACTGTTCCTGAGAGCATCTGGCACCACAGATAAACAAGGCAGGATGAGGCAGGGGGATTCTGAGATTCTGCACTCAGCATTGTGTTGGATGGTGGTCTTTCAGCACCTCACCTAATGCATGCTGGGAATAAAATCAGGTGCCAGCATGATTTCCTGCTCACTAAGCCGTTTTGAGATGAATCACTCCTCCACTTTCCTGTCCACTGCAACCCTCTTTATTACAAACATTGGAGAAAGGTTTTATTTACATATATTTAGGGAGGTTAGTTTGTTACTGTTCCCTCTAACTGCATACTTCTGATGTTGCTCCCGTGGAAGCCAAAACAAATCCGACTGAAACAAATCCGCAAATCCAGGTGGTTAACTCAAATATGTGGGAAAAGGGCTTGTGTTTTCTTGAATTACAGCTATTTATCCAATGATTTTCATTATGGAACTGAATCTGAGAAATCCTGTGTGGAAATATGCAGTGCTGATTAATTCGCTATGGACCGCATCATAAAACAGAAGCCGACAGAGATTTCAAGTTCTTAGCGGTTAATAAAGGGAGTTCAAATTTACTGTTTCCAAACTAACAGAAGCCCATGCTTTACTTTTCTCTGGAAACCAAGACTGAGGCAAAAGCATTCTTCTATAATACTACTATCTCAATGCATAGTATGCAGATTTTATGCATGCAGCGCAACAGATAACACCTTATAGGCCAGTGGTTCGCAACTGTTTTGAGAAGACCCCCAAAAATGATGATCCCCTCATAAGGGATCCCCCCCTTTTAAAATATGAAGGGACCTAGATATTTATGTAAATATATATGAAATGTATGATAAATATACTGTGTGAAATAAAAATAAAAAATATAAAATTTGCTAAAATATTATCTAGAAAATATTGACTTTATTTTGAATTTGTATTTGAAAATATTTAGTTGTAGGCTATATCATTTATTTTTTTTTTTAAATATCTCTCCAGACCAATTTTACACATTTTTCAGTAACAGTCCTAGAAAAAGTGAATACATAATAATAAAAACACAATATTTCAATATTTATGTCTCAAATTTTCCCCTTCCTTTTAGAATATGAAGGGAGCTAGAAATATATGTGTAAATATATATGAAATATTATGATATATATACTGTGTGAAATAAAATAAAAAAATATAAAACTTGCTAAAATATTATCATGAAAATATTAACTTTATATTGAATTTGAATTTGAAAATATTTGGTTGTATATCATTTTTTAAAATATGCATCTCTCCAGACCAATTTTACACATTTTTTCAGCAACAGTGCAGAAAAAGTGAATACATAATAAAAAACACAATATTTCAATATTTATGTCTCAAATTTTCCACAGACACCATAAAACACTTTCAGTTGTTATATTCATCCAGATAGACTAAATATTTTCTATAAATATTTTGTTTTTTGATTTTGGCTACTGTTTAAAATGTAGCACAATCATCTTTTTTTCTTTTTTTTTCTTTGTTCTTTTTTTTTTTTTTTGTATGTATTAGTAGTATTTTATAGAATTTCTGTATTTACAAAAATGTGGTACATGCCAAACAGTCTGCAGGTTTTTGATCCGAAACAAAATTTGCAGGAACATAGTTTGTGGGAGTCTGTGGAGTTTACAGAAAGTACTGCTAAACATTACTGAACTGAAAGCATTGTTTTCAGTCAAATAATATTAAAGCATGCTCTCACTCTACTAATGTGCTACCATTTGTTTTAAGGGCTGTGTTGATTATCGTCAATGTTGTTTCTGCTCTGCCCGATAAGTGGATTGTTTGTGTGAGCTGATGATTGTTTGGGTTGTTGTACCGTTTGGCTTGCGTTGGAGGAACATTGTCGTGTTTTGGCAGGTGGCTCGCCAGCTGCAGCCCTCAGTGATTTGGATCGGCGACGCTGAGAAAACATTCTACAAGAAAGTTCCAAAGCTGGAGAAAGAGGTTTGTCGCATGTCACGCTCACAGTCATTAGAACACTTGAACACAACTTTGAAACATACATAGTCTAATACCAGACCATAAACTGTGATATTCTTCTTCATTTGTTTAGCCCTTCATTCACAAAATCAATGAATATAAATTAAAAACCTCTTTTTAAAGCCATTGTCACTGTGAGGTGGTGGACTCTGCTGTCCTCTTGTGGTTAAAGATGTAGATATTCTGTGCTAACGTTAAAAGAGTGCTGCTGCAGTATGAAAGTTTATGATTTTTGCATGTTTTGTTGTTCCATTTTGCTTCCAACAACTCTTTCAGCATTAATTTTAAAAACATTTTTTCCTGGATAAAAATAAGAATGTTCTTATTACACAATGAGGCTGTTAAAGGGGACTTTTGAGTAGATGAGTTTACCTCTTCGAATGATGACTTTTAATGTCCCGACAAACTCTAAAGTCCCATTTAGCCACTTATTAACAACCGACGTTTCACATATCATTGGGCATTATTGATGATATAGAATAAAATATCTTAAGCTTGTGTTAACCGCAGACTATATTTCAAGTATTTAACAAAAAGAGCTAAAATTGTCTACAAAAATGCATCATCCCTGCTGGACTCTATTGTTTTCTTCAGTTCAGCTGTTTCCTTATTCTGCTCATTTCTAGATGGAACCCAAAAGACTAAAGAAAATCCTGCCGAAGGTCCTAAAATCTATTAAACCAGAGGACCGTGTGTTAGTGGTGGGAACGACACGCAGACCTTTTGATGCAGACATCAAACCTCTCTGTAAAGTTTACAAGAAGATCATTTTGATCCCTAGACCAGATTATGCTTCGAGATTTAGTAAGTAATCATCTATGTTTGTGTTTAATATAAATTTCATACTGAGATCGATTTCACATATTGAGTTAACACATTTATCGTTACAGTTTGCATTTCTATACATCATGTTTTGTTTTGTTTTTTAATCTAGATTATTGTGTATATTCATTTATCTTTTTTGTTTAGCTCTGTGGAAGGAGCTGCTCCAAGCAAGTGGTGCTCAGTTGGGCCCTAAGCTGGACCTGAGCTCTCTAGCTAAAGTTACAGATGGTTACACTCAGGGTCACATTCTTCAGGCGATCCAAACTGTCCTGAACTCTCACCGCCTCAACCAGCAGACCATAAGACCCCTCACTGCTGTGGAGTTCATCCCACCTCTTGCAAGGCTAGACCCGGTCTACAAAGAAGAGGAGGAGGCCTTTAAGGTCAGTTTTTTGGATGTTTTCTCGAGGGACACATGTGTTGAACCCAGCTATACGTATACACACTGACTGTAGATTATGTTTGTATTTTCTGCGTTGATAGACGTGGTACGGCCGGACACCTCTGGGCAAAAAAAGGGCACGAGCGGCCAGGGCCAGCGAGGAGATGGCAGATCTCAAGAAAGGGAAAACAAAAGGAGGAAAATTACAAACAAAAGGAAAGGAGGGAAAGAAGAAAAAGAGAAAGAAAAGGAAGTGAAAACAATGGGCACTCAATCAGACCCTTAAAAAAATACAGTTGCAGTTCATTTTCTGGCCAGCAGAGAGCATAAGCACATCTCCCAATGATAAGTCTACTTCAGTGTTTAATCCTTTCCTTTGTTTCTCAACTAGTACTTTTTATGGTATTTTTTGTTTGGAAAAAAACTATTCTACTAATTAATTCTACTCATTCCACAACCAGTTTATTGGATTATTTTGGTTTTCATCTGTGTGCTCTATTTTTGGCTAATTATGATATTTCTTACTTGAATCTGGTGGGATGTCTTTTTCCCATTGGGGAAAAAAATAGTTCTGTGATGATAGAGTCAGAGTAGCAGACCCTTTTAGTACTGAGAACTTAAAACATTATACCTCTAACAACTTCTCACAATTGATACAAGAGCTTGGACACTGTTCCAAACTGTTTAGATTGGATTACCTTCAACTTTATCACTGTGCCGAGAGGAAATACAAAGATGGGTGTGTTGTTTAATATTTATTTAGTTTTACTTTATAATTTGATCTATTAAAATGTGATTGTTGAACCTGACTTGAAGTTAGACAGCCATTAAAGGACAAAACATGAACCTGAAATCTTCTCTCTTGTCAATGTCCTGAAATGATGTGCATTCAGACTCTGATACAGGAGCCCATAAACATGTTTGCAAATAAAAATGTATAAATGTAATTGCATTGGATAACAGTATGAACACACTTTTCATAAAAAAATAAAAATAAAAAAAAATAGAAAAAGATAAGATGGTTAAAAAATAATTTTTAAAAGACAGTTTCAGTACAAACTGTTCAAAGGGCTTTAAACGATTCGGGTCTTATCAAACGATCGGTCATTTAAAAATTAGGCTATATAACAAAGTTTAAGTTTTAAGCACAAACGCTCTTCTTGATCTGTTCTGTGATGCACGTTCGTGACTCTCCGGTTCGAACTCGTTCGTCAAAATGAACAAATCTTTTTCCACGAAATGAACGAATTGACTCGGAAAAAGATTTGTTCATTTTGATGAACGAGTTCGAACAGGAGAATCACAAACGCGCATCACAGAACAGAGCAAGACGAGCATTTAAGCTTATAAAACTTAAACTTTGTTATATAATTTTAAAACGACTGATTGTCTGATAAGACCCTTATTCATCATCTGGAATCATTTAAAGCCCTTTGAACAGTTTGCACTGAAACTGTCTTTTGGACCTTGAACCGTTTGGTTCCCATTGAAGTGCATTATATGAAGAAAAATCCTGGAATGTTTTCATCAAAAACCTTAATTTCTTTTCGACTGAAGAAAGAAAGACATGGACATCTTGGATGACATGGGGGTGAGTAAAGTATCAGCTAAAGTTTTTTTTTTTTTTTTTTTAAAGTGAACTACTCCTTTAACCGTGCTCATTTTTATTTTCATCTGCCCTCGTCATAATATTTAAACAAAATAACTTCCTCTCTCATCAGAGACATCTCATCTCTTCTCTGATGATGCGGCAGGACAACCTGTCACCCACATGAGAGCAATAGCAAATCACAACCATCCAATCGATTCCCGGTGGACAAAATCAAAAAGCAGTACAAAAAGCTGCTTAATTCACAAAACGTTGCCACAGGTACGTTTTTCTAATGAGCCTGGCCTGAAAGAAAGTCATACAGGTTTGGAAAGACATGTCAGTGAGTAAATGATGACTGATTTCTCGCTCTCTCTCTGTATCAGAGAGTTTATTGTCCCATGTAATCTTCAACCAAACTGTGTCTGCCATCCGGGCTGCAGTGCGACATCTCTGCCCAGGTTGCTTATGAGACCGCCTGCTCTGCCAAGCAGCTGAACCATTTCCCTTCTTCCTTTAGAATCTTCCCATGGGAGCTAAGCCTATTTTAAATTCATTCATTGTCGGTATTGTCTCCAACCCCTTGTTTGCAACATCTTATGCAACTTCTTATTTTTTTTTTTTTTTGTGGGGTGGAGGGGGGGTTGCCTTGTTCTATCTTTATCCCACTCTTCGAGTCTGATCTTACCGGATCCCCTCCTCCTCACCAGGTTTATAGGGCATGACAAACACAGTCACCTCAATGTGCTCTTTGTAGCTTCAGCTCACATCTAATTGAATTAATCAGGTGTGTGTGTGTGTGTGTGTGTGTGTAGGCTACATCTATCCCGAAGAACAAAAAGAGCCCTAAAGCTGGGTGACATGTTAAAGAGGAGTATTTTTTTTTCCCTTGACTTGCTAATTTAAATGCGAGATGTTGATATGCACGTGCCCAAATGCACTGGCTTATATTTGCACACCTAATTACCGAAAATAAAAAGATGATTTGAAGTCATCTTTTCCCGCAGTGCTCTTCATACTGCTTTTAATTAAATGCCTCGTTTGACTGTACATTATTCTCATAGGTCATTCCCCCTACACACGTCTCCCCTTCAGGAGTGCTAATAATTAAACATTATTCAGATTGGATTAGTCAGATGTATCTTTGTGTCTCACTGAGACCTGAGCGCAGTCCTTTCTCACCCTGTGGCCGTTGATGTAAAATAAAGTATAACAACTCCTTCGTTTTAAGGAGCCTTTTAACCATTGTTTTGCAATTACTATTTAGTTCCCTGTCCTGTTGCTCCAGGGTGCAGGGCTTTCTTTCTTATGCAGCACTGCCTTTCCTGCAGCAAGCGCTGACCTCTGAGGTACTGTTTATAGGGATGCAGCCTGCCCATGCCTTTACAACTTTAGTAACCCTAGGTTTGGCCTAGGGGCGGAAGGGTGAGACAGAGCCATTAAGAAGTTATCCCTGATTTAATGGAGTTTTTTAAAGTGAGCATTCCAAATAGGCCATATGACAGGAGATATATCTGGGAAACTGACCCACAGGATAGCCTCTCTTAAGCTGTCACATTTGACTACATCCCTGTGTGCAGAGTGCACAGTTTGCGCATTGGGAATGTAGATGAGATAAGAGTGCTGTTTTGTAATGGCTTGAGATTTTATTAAATGAAGGATTGGTGGTGCTCTAGTGAAGATAAGGAGATCCTCAGGGAGGATAATAATAATATACAAACCCAATTCCATAAAAGTTGGGACACTGTACAAATTGTGAATAAAAACAGAATGCAATGAAGTGGAAGTTTTAAATTTCAATATTATATTTAGAATACAACATAGATGACATATCAAATGTTTAAATTGAGAAAATGCATAATTTTAAGGGAAAAATAAGTTGATTTTAAATTTCATGGTATCAACACATCTCAAAAAAGTTGAGACAAGGCCATTTTTACCACTGTGTGGCATCCCCTCTTCTTTTAATAACAGTCTGCAAACGTCTGGGGACTGAGGAGACAAGTTGCTCAAGTTTAGGAATAGGAATGTTGTCCCATTCTTGTCTAATAAAGGCTTCTAGCTGCTCAACTGTCTTAGGTCTTTTTTGTTGCATCTTCCTCTTTATGATGCGCCAAATGTTTTCTATGGGTGAAAGATCTGGACTGCAGGCTGGCCATTTCAGTACCCGGATCCTTCTTCTACGCAGCCATGATGTTGTAATTGATGCAGTATGTGGTTTGGCATTGTCTTGTTGGAAAATACAAGGTCTTCCCTGAAAGAGACGATGTCTGGATGGGAGCATATGTTGTTCTAGAACTTGGATATACCTTTCAGCATTGATGGTGCCTTTCCAGATGTGTAAGCTGCCCATGCCACACGCACTCATGCAACCCCATACCATCAGAGATGCAGGCTTCTGAACTGAGCGCTGATAACAACTTGGGTTGTCCTTGTCATCTTTAGTCCAGATGACATGGCGTCCCAGTTTTCCAAAAAGAACTTCAAATTTTGATTCGTCTGACCACAGAACAGTTTTCCACTTTGCTAGAGTCCACTTTAAATGAGCCTTGGCCCAGAGAAAACGCCTGCGCTTCTGGTTCCCGTTTAGATATGGCTTCTTTTTTGACCTATAGAGTTTTAGCCGGCAACGGTGAATGGCACGGTGGATTGTGTTCACTGACAATGTTTTCTGGAAGTATTCTTGAGCCCATGTTGTGATTTCCATTACAGTAGCATTCCTGTGTGTGATGCAGTGCCGTCTAAGGGCCCGAAGATCACGGGCATTCAGTATGGTTTTCCGGCCTTGACCCTTATGCACAGAGATTGTTCCAGATTCTCTGAATCTTTGGATGAGATTATGCACTGTTGATGATGATAACTTCAAACTCTTTGCAATTTTTCTCTGAGAAACTCCTTTCTGATATTGCTCCACTATTTTTTGCCTCAGCATTGGGGGAATTGGTGATCCTCTGCCCATCTTGACTTCTGAGAGACACTGCCACTCTGAGAGGCTCTTTTTATACCCATTCATGTTGCCAATTGACCTAATAAGTTGCAAATTGGTCCTCCAGCTGTTCCTTATATGTACATTTAACTTTTCTGGCCTCTTATTGCTACCTGTCCCAACTTTTTTGGAATTTGTAGCTCTCATGAAATCCAAAAGGAGCCAATATTTGGCATGGCAATTCAAAATGTCTCACTTTCAACATTTGATATGTCATTTATATTCTATTGTGAATAAAATATAAGTTTATGAGATTTCTAAATTATTCTATTCTTTTTTTACTCAAAATTTGTACAGTGTCCCAACTTTTTTGGAATCGGGTTTGTAGATAGATGCATTTCTATATTTCTATATATTCAAATAAATGCTGTTCTTTTAAATTTTATGTTTATTAAAGAATCCTGAAAAAAATCACAGCTGTTTTATACATTTGAAGAATATAATAAGGGTTTTTTTAGCACCAAATCAGGAGATATGGCTGCTAAATGTTTAGTTTTGCCATTACATAAATTAGATGTTGAAAAATATTGAGATAAAAAACTTTTTCAATTGTAATACTATTTCACAATATTAGGGTTTTTACTGTTGTTCTTTTTTATATAATAAATGCAAATGAACGCAGTCTCGTTTAACAAAAAAAAACAATAAATCTCATGGACTACAAGTATTGAATTATGAAAAGC